CGAATCGGGCAACAACGGAATAATTTGGCTTAATTATCCTTTTTGTCAGTAAAATATTTTTTTGTTAGTAAAAAAGGTCATAATTTTGACTTGAATTGACGCTGTTGTTCATTTGAAGGCTGCAGCAAACGTGTAACTCGCTTTGGTTTTAACAGCGAAAAAGTGTATTGAAAAACGCAGTCATGTTTAGAATGTTGCGCCACAAAAGCTACGACCTAAATGGAACATGTGAAATCAAATATTTGTTTCTGCGTCAAAATGTTGTCTCCACTGATTAAAATAACTTTTTCTACTAACAATGGTATAACTAAACATGTTTAGTCAAATCAGATTGGAAAATGTGAGCRCTTAAAATTCCACTCGGTATAGCTTCGATGATATTACATTTTTGCGAGCTGACAACGCTTTTTTCAGTTAAGTGTATAACAAGAAACGTTTTTATAACTTCTATAGTATCCATTTTTAGAAGGCGATGTAACCACACTGCCTTATGCATATTGAACACAGTTATCTACATTGTAGATCACCTCTATAAATTTTATAGCAAACACCAAATAAAAGAGAACACCTCTACGGCGTATCACGTCAACAAAACAACAACATATATAGAAAATAAACCCCTGAATAACGCACGACGACAACTTTATATATRTAACGCGTATTCATTACTACACAGGGATTGAGTGAAGCCAAGATGGACGTTCGTCGGCAAGAGCATGCTGTTCGTCAAATGAACAAGCAAATTGCTATTTTGGAAGCCGAGAAAAAATCGCATACAGAAAGAATCGTTAACGCGGAGAAGACATTAACCTCTGCTGCAAGGTTTGTTTAAAGACATCTYGTCTATAAATTGAATGATTTACAGTAAATTTACAGACTTTGTAAATTGTTCAACTTTTCCAGGGATACTTATGGTTTGATCTGCAATGTGTAAATAATGCAAGTGAAATGAATCGTCGCAGTAATAATTAATCTTTACGAGTGTGTGTGAATATCTGTGGACCGCGTGCTTGAAAAGGGTGTTATTCCAGGAGGAACACGGATCGTTATTAATTGAATGGTAGCCCGAAAAAGAATCGAGCTTCACCCAATTATGATGACTTGACTTATTAGTTCAGTTGGCATAGCACTGCACCGATATATAGCGGCAGGTCACGAGTTCGATTGAATTTCAGTTGAATCAAGCATAGATTGTTGTTACTGCGACAGTTATACGTCATCATGCACAAATTGGATACAATAAAAATACTTACCATGTTTGATAAAGGAAATTTAGAAGATACTTACAGATTGTACATAAAATCTATGAACTTTGTTAAAGGCAATTTTGTCTGAAAATTGAATTTACAGTATATTTACATATTATTTACAAACTTTGTAAACTAGTCAACATTTTTCGATGTATAACAATACTATAATAATGGGATATTATAAACAGTAGAATGGCAATATTAGATGCATTGGTTTATGTCCTAAACTACTATTAACTGTTATTATTTAGGGAAAAAGAAGCTCTTCTGACGTACCTCAAGTCGGTCGAACGGGCCCTAGAACAGAGTATTGACCAAGTGCGCTTATCGCAAGGTTCCATGGGACTGTATGAGTTAACATTGCCCAAACTAATTACACCTGACGAAAAGTTAGCCATGGATGGACTAACAATGGGACCAGAGATGTTGGCTTGTCAGGTAGGCTGAAGTTATTTAACAAATAGATGCCATTTTTCTGCATGTGCCTGAGTACACTGATATAGATACCCAGATGACCTCAAAATGTAATGAGAACAAGGCAAAAACCTTTACCTGCCGTCTTTCTAAGCCGCTATATAGCAAAACCAATTGAGTTGAAACGCTGCGAAACAAAATGTGCATATATATATATGGACATATAAAGACAACTCGAACACATCAGGAAAAGTTGACCAGATCGGCAATCGTCAGAAATGGAAATTTATGGTCAAGAGTATGGTGGTGTTTTTGTATTCTTTTAGCCAGGCGTTTTTATATCAACTCCTCCTGTAATTGTAAATCAGGTCTTTTGCACAAATTAACGAACGTTACTATTGTAAAGTAATGGTTGTTTCAATTATTTCGCAGAATGTAGTCTTGGCATTCGTAGATGCGCAACAACGAGCGTTGGATCAAATATCGTCACTTCAGGCCGAGAGACAACAAACATTATCAAGAATAGCATCAATGGATGAAGAGCTATCTTCACATAAAGCACATATACGAACACTGAAAAATGAACTCACAGCGGCGTGTAGACGACAAATAAGTGACGATGCAATAAGTGACAACATGGGGATTCTGGTTAGTAACCGCTTATGAATATAGGGCCCATCAACACGAGTCCGGAGATTTTGTATACACCTTATACGCTAGCAGGGTCCCCGCAATGTCGCCGAAGATTTCTGTATACGCCCTTCAGAGTGGAAAATTCTTTTCGATAAGTCTCCGCCAGCATGTGTTCAAAAAGTTGGACGCTCGTATCCGAATATTTTTGTATACGATGACATCAGAGTTTATTTAGTATAAGCATGCTCTGTTGACTTCCGGGTTCGTATCGGRTACATGCAGACGGTCGTATGCGCTAATTGTTTACAAAGATATTTTTGTATCCCGACTAAAATAAGTTCTATCAAAAATCTCTTGACTCGTGTGGATGCGGCCATAGTCTTTTGCCAACTCGGGCCGCTCGGAATCACAGCAATTACCTCGAGTAGACCGACAGTCATTATGGATTTTAATCTCCCAACGATTGGACATCATTGACAAAATTCGTAGAGTTCTTGCATAAAATGTGAAGAAATCCAGTGGGTCAATGTCCGTTGTAAGTACGCATGTTAATTACCCATACTTCCTTTCGGTATTGTCGTGTAAGACAGCGGTCAATCGAAAGAACGCAGAATGAGGTCCATTGTTGGTGCCATAAAGTAATTYTAGGTCCATTGGTAAAGTTTTGCCTTACATTCAATGTTAGATTTATGACCTTGAGCCCGACAATAGTTTAGTAGAGTTGATGCTATCGAAGATCGTTGAGTAGTTAGTAATGAGTGAAGTGTTATTAGTTATAGGTTCGTTAACTGTATATGGTTTGTTGATAGTCTCCAATAGTGTCCGAGGACAGGGATAGCTGCAGCCAGTTGTCAGATAACGATAGAACAAAACAGAATAAGAAATTCGATGTCCTAGTTCAGATGAAGGTATGCTTATCAATCCATCTTCTTGTCCTGACTTCTGATGCTATCTGTGTGGAGAAGCCAAAGTTTGTAAGCTAAAACACTTKATCAAGTTTTTTAACAATTTATCGTCTTTCAGAGACATTTCCAAAGCACGCACGAACAACCGTCCGGATTTGAGTCGACTCCAACGAATGATGGCTTTACTTCCAGTGATGCAGACAGACAGACAGATAGTGTCAGTGAAAGGRAGGTATACTAAAGATCACTGTACATATAGACATTGAGGGAAATAGAGGTATAGTTAACGTGCCTATTGACCGACAATGGGGCGACCATTTTGACAGAAAGAAATCTTACGTGGATTTTTGCGTTTTCTTCATTAACCAACATTTTTTGCTTTGAGCAAGGACGCACCATAATGCGTGCACTTTGCGCATGTACTTGGTTAACTTAGAAAGGTAGTTCGCACATGTTGTAGGTTAATATAGGAAGGTACCGCATACATACAGAAGGTTAATGGAATGACGGGCACTGTCAGTTAGAGGGTGGAAATTGTACAGATATAAAAGGTTAAGTTAATGATATAATCATGGATGGAGACAGTATAGCTAACARCAACTGAGATATGTCCGTTTTTAGGAGCCATTTCAAGTTAACGAGACGAGTCGAATGGGTGGGCTMCGTGAGGACAGTTACAAAGCTGATTTCGTTCCGTTGTCGTAAGTATSACTTAATTCTATCGRGATATGGTTTCTTCGTAAGTACTTAGATTGCACCGTATTTTATCCCTAGCGCACACCGTGATTCATCGTTTCGACCGTCGMTTGGATCAACATCAACAGATGACAATAACAGGGCAAGTTTTACCAGGTAATGTCAACYTACTAATACGTCTGTGAATCATTTCATCTTAAATTGTTTTCTTGTAATTCAGCCCCAAGCGACGTGCGGCCTCTCGTTCCTCGTACAAAAAGTCATCATCCAAGCCACCTATTCAAGATTTTGCAAAATATTACAGCACTAGATAGATAGTTTTGTTTTAAATTTTTCATATTTTTATCAATTTAAGGTTTTTGTAAGCGCGAATCGATTTGAAATAAAGAAACGTTTTGAACAAGGTGTTATTGTTTGAACGATGCAAGGAACTTTGAACTTTGAAATTTCAAGAAACTGTCAGGAAGTAATTTCCAAAGAAATAATAATACTTTTATGAATTCGACTTTGGCTAAAARGAATTACATCGAATTTACAAACAGCATGGTAAAAAATAGTAATTATGATAAAAAGATAATAGATATAGAATGTGCTAAGATTTGTACAATAGACTGAAGTCAATTCGTATTATACTGGCTACGCGGTGAATAAGGATTCTCTGTTTCTGTTAGTCTTTGCGATCGAAGAAGGTACGGGTTGGTATATACTACATTAATCATAAATCTTCTACATGGGTAATCTGGTGAGTTTAAAATATCATTAAAAGCTTTCTTGGTCCCTGTCTCTATTTTTTTTGACTTCGACTTTTTACCAAATCCTACGTAACCTGAACGAAACTATGTGGAAATTATTTCATGAAGAGCCACACCCAATAAAAGATTGCTTTTTCTGACAACCATTGCAGCTGATAGTCTGATTTTACGATATACACTATCGCTGATCGGAATCCTTCCACTCACGTATTTTTTCTAAAATTAGTGTGTCCTAGCTTTGATTTTAGAATTGYAATACTTTTTTATTTGCGGACGTAGTTATAAAAAGCCATAAAATTAGTCRAATTTCATAACATAATTCTTCTAAGACATTCCTTACCTGTATAAGGAGAGCTATAAGATTTCTTGTTTCCCAATATAGATACAAAAAAAATCACCTATTTTAAACGTGGCCGTTGGGTTACGATTGGATGAACTACGATATTTGATGTATCGAGTGACGAATAAAAATTCCATAGGTGCCCGCCCTGGTATGTCAACATGAACACCATCTTGTTCTTGTACTTTCTCAAGAATGGAAGTTGACAAGTTTGGTTGAAATGATGATTTATTCAATTTGTAAGCCTTTCAACGTAATACACATGACATCTATGTATGCTATGATGATAGTTTGTTCGCCAGATGTATCCTTCCATTGATATGCAGGTTTAAAGGATAACGTCTTTGTTTAAGTGTACTAAGGAGTGTTGATACGTGACAGTAAGATTGGCAGCAGCTATTGATATCRGTCTGTGCAATTCCACTGATCGATCAAACATGTTTTAAACAATCTTCTAGAGTTGACAATTATCCAATTTTTAAGCCGACCATCTTGTTCATGGCTGGTATGACGTGGTTGATGTTCAGAGCATGTGATTAGCCTGGAGCTAGTCTCACAACACTGATTAAACAATTGATCTCCAACCAAGATGAATGCACACGCACATCTATTGCATCGTTGTGTGATAAGAGACCCTAACAGTGGGTGTTGTTGGGTGGGATTCSCTACTCAATCATCTTAACCTTTTGATCTATTGRACGTCCAGCCGTTGTATTTATTTACACACTTCTTTCATAAACAAAATGGAAACTGATAATTTCACTAAGGAGCTGGATGGTAAAAMTGTACAAACGATCTAACCTTACTCAATGTCTGCAGCTTTACATCAAAACACACAAGACTACAACACGATTRCTAAAAACCCGTTAGCTTTCGAGACTTTTTTGTTTTTGATTCTTTAGCGAACTTTGGTGCGAGCCTGTATTTAAGATTGAAAAGTCTAGACGCGTTTAACATATTCGAGGACACACTACCGGAGCTTTTACTCCCCGAACTTAACAAATTACCCACGATTTAAATGATAATAATTGTCATTAAAGAAAGACCTTAATTACACAGTTTAAAGCGGGCATTAGAGAACCCCAATAGCCTGTTTTATTCAGAGAAGAATATTTTTATCGGTTGGATGTGCGTTTTAATCTTTCATGATAGTTTAACGCTGGAGGCGACGAGATAGCCAATATCCACAGCAGACCGTCGTTAGCTCACCAATGATTTTAACACGTGTTTAAAGACCTTGATTTATCGATCTAGAAACAGAGATTAAATCTTGGGACATTTACAACTATCTTAATAATTCCAAACTGAACGATTTGTGTATTTTTGTCCAATAAAAATGAAAACATTTCGCCCTAAAAAGATTAAGGACGCCATTGGAATGCMTTTAATTACTTTCACTTGATACTGATGACTTTTACATACGGTCAGCATTACCAAATGAATATTTTCCACYTTGAATTGTCCAATAAAATGGTTTCTTTTGTATGACTATTTCTGTTGATTAATTAATAACGATTTGAATTTGTATAGACATTTTATTGCAGGGACAACAAATGGTATTTCAATTCAAAATCCGTTAAAAWTCACACYATGAAGGCTTAAAGTAAGTGATCATACTTTCAGCTTTGTTAAAACAATAAAATGTCGTTTAGAAGACATCAAAGAAAGAGGAAATGACCTTCAAGATGTTCTTGTTTTCACGATTACTGCCCTGCTGTCTTAATTTGCTCAAGTGAAAACGGCTTTTTCATTTGGAAAAAGTTTATTAATTGGCGATCGATTTAATTGAACAAACGCTCAACTCACTTAATAAACAACAAAGCACCATTTAATTAGTCACCCAAAGTCAAGATAATTACTTTTGAAGCAATAAACCGAGGAAAGCAATTTTTCTCGGCCGTGTTTGCGCACTATTGATCACTTGTGACTCCAGTGGATAGGTTCCCTCATTTAAAAGTTGTTATAAAGACCATCAATTCCATGATTTCCGGACTATGAGTATTTCACGCCGTGCATAAGGCTACGGGTTTGTTTTGACATGTTAGTTCATCTAATATAGARTGATACCTCTCAGAGAATAGGTGTGTTGAAGTGTGACCAGGCCGGGCCAATCACAGGCCAGCATCACACGGTCTTTTCTTCAGAGCGGTTTTTCTTGATTCATTAGTACAGCTAGCCACGGTATGAGATACATTACAAACCGAGGACCTATACGCTTGTCATTTTAACGTGATCGCTCGTACGCGATGAGAGATTTCTACAAAYATTTCATCGAAAAGTGACCTTGAATCGCTCGAGGCTTCAATCGGTATCACATTTGAACATCGCGGACACATCTTGCGAACAGCCTGAAATATTTTTCTTAGTTTTCGTAAGAAGTCAGTTCCAGACTTTCGTAGAGGCTGACAGATCGAAGAGGGAGCGCCATTCAGCAACGCGTATCTTTTACAGAGATATATTCTAACACGCTAGCAGAATGCGACTGTTGTACGGAACTGTGATGTTATTGTTCCTTGTCGTCTTCACAGAATCACGACGAGAATATCGGTAAGAATACTTGTCTTTATTAAGTGCGCCTAYCTCAAGTGAGTTGTTAATTAATCGATTTTTTTGTAAAATGTCCTATTCCCCTTCAAACAAGAAATCCAAGGGTCGTTGGTAAGGGGCTGATGATAGGCAATAACCTCCCTTGCTTAGTGTTGTAAGTCTATCAGCGCTGCTTTATTGAACTGATTATCAACTACGTTTTGTAGCGATGGTCCCATTGTAGCAGMAGAAGAAATGACAGAGGAAGAGATCGAAAGATTTTGCACCGCGACTTTAAGGTGGTTAAAACCGCATCAAAAGAAGAAGTGTAGAGAGGACTATTCGCACAGCACAGTAAAACCCATCTTGAACAGCATACACCGAGGCGTTACGATGGCGTTAACTGAGTGTGAAAATCATTTTAATGATCATCGCTGGAATTGTTCTGGACTTAACACTGCACAAGTGTTTCAAGATCAGGGAATATTGAAAACAGGTAAATAGAAAGTTTTATTGTTTACTTGTCTTTGCACAGTTGATTCAATACCTAAACACCACAACATCTCCGTATGGCTTGACCCTGAGTGAAAGATTTTCCATGCACTGAAATATAAATGTGTTGACCCAAATCCGCTTAATATAAGTGTGTTCACAGTAGTGAGACCAATCAATTGGGGCAACCATTTTCGGATTAAAAGCAATTCAATGACAATGTATCGGTGCGTCTGAACTGCTCGAACTGTTTCATGCGTCACGTTGTACAGACAACAGATGGAATATCTATACAAAATGGATCGTATCTCAGAAAGAATGCAATAACTCTTCGCTAYAACTTTGCCTGAGATAAACGTTACAGATCTCAAAAACTCATAAAAAAACATCGATTGGTTATCCCCGGTTATTGTATCACTCGACACAAATCTCAAATCAGAAACATTTCATGTTTTGTCAGTAAAATGTTTAGAGACGGTTTTTCCTGTTGGTTTATTGRGTATTTTAATGTGTTTTCCATATCTGTACCCTCATATCTCTTTGATGGCTGTATTGATTCATGGTGGGTATTTGTTTAGCATGCAGRAGAGGGTAAGGACTGATATAGGCTTGATAAAGCTTGATATATATGCAAGCCAATCCGTTAAATGACTTGTCGGGTTCATTGCTGTTAGTATCTTATAGTAAGCTCTCCTCATTGACACAAACGTCACAGGTCTGACACGAGTCATGTTTAGTCCCGCAGGCGAGTATTCACTGCCAATTGTACACCTAGAAAAAGTGTATAAATAAACCAAATAAATAATCATCCAGTAATAGCAATTAACTGAAGTCTCTTGAATCAATCACTAAACCCTTGACCTGGCTAAGTGAGGGCCTAAATAACAGAGATTTAGACAAACATTGCCTTTGCAAAGAATCTAGAAGGACAGAGAAGCTCCGTGTAGAAAGATCCATCAATCTGTCTCCCTTAGAACAAACAAAAGCACACGAAACTGTGAGCTTCTAAGTATCACTGAGGCAACAACCTAAGCCTCCATAATCCCGCCTTGGGGCAATTTCTATTATTTTCAATTTGCAATCGTTATTTTGTATTTTGAAATAAGCACAATATGGGAGGTCTAGTGGTCCTACTTGTCGCTTATTGCTATTTTAAGGAGTTAGCCTTGTTATCAATAGTACAAATCATGGCCACTTTTCAACTGGTCTAAAACCTCCCCGATACCCAGTACTGATAAGGCAAGTCATGCAAGCTCAGCTTTTAGAGCGGTAGGCCAGGCTAGACGGCAATGTCTTGTGATATTTCATATTAAGAAGTCCAATGAGGATTATTAGGCCAGAAGTCAGCGATCATTAGTAAGATAACAATGTTAGGGATTGGTAAACGAGTATATAGGTATCCCAGACGCCTACCGGAGTATTATATTATTAAAAAGACCTTATTAGATCGAAAAGATGATTCATCAAGCCGCTATCGCAGACTTTATTGTCGAMAGGAAACTCATAATTGTTTTTGGTTCGTTTGAGGTCGCTGTTAATCACACAGCCTGGAAAACTGATGATTTGAATAGGGATGGTGTATAAACGACAAACATGTGTTGAATGTGGAGGTCCTTTCAAAAGACTTCTGATTTAGTTTAGATGTCGTTGCCGAGTCGCGACCCCATGAGATTAAATATAATGTCCCCAATTATACTAAACCAGGAAATCATGCAAGCTAGAGGTGGTTTTCGGCAGCGTGTGATCYCGTTTGTTRCCTTGACATATTAGGATGTCACTCTTGTAGACACTGACAAACATCTTTTGGTTCTATTGTCAAGATTGGCCACAAATGAACCACAAAATTTACGAATTATCACAATTGAGTGTTGATATAAACAATTTAAACCGCAAYTTAAAATAGTACATGCAATACAAAAACACGATTTATAAGAAATTACTGGAATCTATTTGACGATATCTGTTGATACAACTTCTTGACTTTTATTGRATTTCAAAAATGTACTTGTGATTCAAGGTAGAGAAGTTTAACCACGTGACCACTCCCTTCCTTCCCCGGTCTAATAGTAAAACACGTTCTTCCATGCCATTTGTAGATACACGCGAAAGTGCCTACGTGTATGCCATCACTTCAGCCGGCGTGTCGTACGAGATAACCAAACAATGTACACTAGGGAAGTGGGAAAACTGTGGTTGTGACACACGTGTTCGTGGCCGTGTTTACGCAAAAGGCGAGAAGTCCTGGGAATGGGGAGGATGCAGCGAGAATGTCAAGTATGGAGTAGAACAGTCCAAAAGATTTATGGATCCTCCAAGACCAGCTAAGAAAGACGTCCAATACTTGTTGATAACGCATAATAATGAAGCTGGACGAAAGGTAGGAAGATTGTTCTATAACAATACATCATTAATCGTGACTTCAGATTATGAAGCAAGTTGTGTTTATGGCATGATGATAGTTAGATTAAAAATAGTTTTCAAAACAACAATTTTACTTAAATGCAGGCTAAAAAGGCCTACTTGGTTGAAAAATGACAAAATATTGGAAAAGTCTCGGAATTCTCCTAGAATAATTAATAAGTGTACAATATCATGGAGCAACATATTTTTACCATAGGTCGCCAAACTATTATTGCTTGAGAGAAAGAAAAGAAGGAATGCGAACGCTTTTATGTTTTCGGTGTGCGCTCTTAGCAAAATGCAGATTAACTGTGTTATACGTCATGATCCCTTGCCTCGAGGGATCAAAAACCAGTCTGTCGAGACTAGTTTTTGATCCCATGGGATCATGCATGACGCAAACCCACAGGCAATAAATACAAAGCGAGCGCGCCGATACGATAAAACCGTGCGCATTCGTTCTTTTCTATCTCTCCAACAATAGTTGGACCGCCTATGATTTTGACAAGATTTTGATGCAATTTTTTGGAAATTTTGGCAAAAAAACATTGGAGTGAATGAATTATTTTTTTCTTTCTTCTTTTGAACTAAAATTTCTTCTGCTTTGGGATGATTCCGTAACAAAACGTTTTTCTGAGAACATGTGAGAAGTTTAGGAATAAATGAGTCATATATTTGAATTACGCGAAGATTTGGGCTTTTTCGTGCAAGTAGCACTAATGCCATAACTAGGGATGCGTGGACAGCGGTAACTGGATGCCTATTGTTYCTCTTGACAATTGCGTGTCTCAATTTATCCCTGACGCATGGAATTCCAGTCTGTTTAATTTAATAGTACACGTTGGCTTGACGACCATGGCTTTATACAGAATACCTTCAGATAATCAAGAATACCTCTATTGATATCAAGATTCGTCATATAATTATCCATAAAATACCCTATATTTCTCCATTTCTTTAAGTTGTTGTTGTTGTGAAAATAACACATTCGAGGTTTCTCTATTTAGTGGAAGTAAGAAAAAAGGTATTTTACGACATAATTTGCTTTCATATACAATTATATGATAAACAGAATATTACATGGWCGCTTGGAGAACGAATTTTATCTTCTCGTGTWGAAAATCTCTTCGCTACRCTCACTTATGAGAGATCTTTTCAACACTCCGTATCTCCGCGCGSCCATGTAATATCCTCTATATCTTTCATTCTCAAAAACGAACTAAAGASCTCAAAATGGACCACGGACGGTCATTAGAAACATTTTGATTAATTTGAAATGAAAGCTTTCGATTGGAAAACTAAAAGAAACAACAGCACTATTCGACTCTAATTTACGCATTAAAATCTGTAATGGAGAATATACTATTGATATGATAATATTAAGTTATTATTAATAAATGTATCGCTTCAAAAATTCACTGGGCTCGCCCGATGATATATGACCGCTGGCCAACATAGCTGGCTGCATTGGTAGAGCACTGCAACGCCATCGCAGAGGTCATGGGTTCGATTCCCGTGTAAGCCCGCTAAAAGCTTTTTGGTGCGATACATTTATTAATAATCACTTAGATTATTTTACTGCGACGATCGCAATGGTCTCCTTCATGGTTCCTTGCGCCATCTTGAAAGGTAGCGATAAATGATGATAGATACTGTGAATAATAGACTTCTGAACCTTTTRCGTCACTACTTGATTTTCAATGCATTGTGGGATCAGTTTCAAGAAAAAACAAAAGAAATCCGCCATGTTTTGTCCCAAACATGTCCTACAATGCATTGCGTATACGGTACATGACGTAAAAGCTGCAGAGGTCTATTGTCAGTAGGTGTGAAAGAAGGTTTCTATCATTGCACGCTCAACGGTAGTCTTGCTTCGATGCAAAGGCACGGCTACCTTTCAAGATGGCGCAGGTAACCGTGAAGGAGACTATTATAGAATGCTCAATTTAATGCAGGACCTGTATGACTGAATACTCAGTACATATTTATTACTGTTTGGTGAATCTGAAAGCGACCATGAATATATTTATATAGTTACCCAAGTACATCAATCCTCCTTCCAGTGATCTAAACTTTCATAAAATTAATCTTTTTAAAGATTAAAAGCAAACTTCATCTTTTCCAGGCTCTGAGGGATAACATGGGCAAAAGTTGCAAATGCCATGGAGTATCTGGATCTTGCTCTGTGAAGATTTGCTGGCGGACAATGCCAAGCTTYAACGCGGTCGGYGAATTRCTTCGTAAGAAATTTGATCGATCTTCTCGTGTCAGACCAAACTCCAGCGTTACAAAATTAATAAAAGTGAATAGAGATAAACGTGGAAAAAGACGAAAAAGRAAAAGAAACAAGCCTTCAGGATCAGACCTCGTTTACGCCAAAGATTCACCCAACTTTTGCCAAGCAGATCCCAGTCTTGGCATACTGGGCACTCGAGGAAGATTGTGTAAGAAATCATCTCCAGACAACGACAGTTGCAGAAACATGTGCTGCGGGAATGGATATAACACATTGGAGAGATCCATGAAGATCAAATGTAATTGTGAATTTATATGGTGCTGCAAGGTGCAGTGCGAACTTTGTGAGAAAGACTGGTTTGAGCATCGTTGTAAATAATTCTTCCGCGGCTAAGAAGACATTGTCGTTGGTAAAACTGCAATAACAATTCCCGTGGAAAATCAATTGGAACCATGCACATTGTTCACCCATTGTGCACACTAATAGYTCTACACATGCATCTTTACATATCTATGGATATAGAGGTTTTAGAGAAAACGGGTTTAGAGCCTACCACGAAAAAACAACTCCATATGTGAGCAATAGCCAAACATAGGATACCATGAGTTGSTGTTACATTAAACTACATGACGGGGGCAAAACTATGTAAAAATCAGGTTAATTTTATGCACTCGCTTTGMAGTATCAAGATGAACTTAGTCACGTGAGTAACGGAAGAGAAACGCATCATGCGCCTTAACAACAAACACAAGAAATGAACGTTCTGTTTCTTTCGTTTTCTTGCACAAGAAACACATAAGGGATCATGTCTCTGCCGTACAGAATATTCGATATGTCCATTCCTTCATAAAACGAGATTGAAATTCTCTAAAATACAATTACACTTATACATTTACAAGATACACATTACGCATCGCAATAAAAAAATCAAAATACCGAGATAATTATCAATAGTTTTGATTTGCTGATTTTTTGAATCAAGCTGTTTACACGTTATCAAAAATATCATTTCTAGTGAAAGTTTGTTCCCTTACGAGTTTCTGATCTAGCTTGAGCTAGTTGCTTTTGAAAACCGGAGAAACGAACAAGCARTCTAGTACGAAATGGAGGTTTTTGAACCACTTCCGCTCAGTCTCATTAATTATTCAGGGAGAATCATGGACATATGACATATATATACCTATGTCATGCACGAACGACCTGGAAAACCATCTACTTCATCCCACATGCAACAGCCAGGAATTCTTATAGAGTTCAAGAAGTTAGTTATTGATCGAAGTACCTCCTAATGTTAGCATGAATTGAGGGACTGCGGGGTACTGCTTCGAGTACTTTAAAGTTTTTCTGTATGTCAAAGACTTGACTAATATTTCAGAGTCCTTGTTACCTGTAAAAGCTTATTTCCTTGGAATTTAAAGGTACCGAACGTGGTTCAAAAGTCAATGTGTAGCGACGCTATTTTGTACAACAAAAAGAATGATGGTTGTTGTACTTTTGGGAATTCTTCTTATAATTCTTAAGAATCTCCCAAGAAAACGTTTTTAAGTTTTCCTGGAATCTAGAAATGGAGCAACTACTTATATTTTTTACAAGAAAAAGCAAAACAGGCTGAGGGGATCTGTTTTAGTGGAGATGAAAAAGTGCCAGAACTACATTAACTCCTCGTCTCACGCTTCGTTGTATAAAATGGCGTCGCTGCATACTGACTAATATATCCCGGTCAATTTCTCAACTCGTGAATAATTAATGCTTTAAAACAACAATTGATACAAACAATTACCATTGCGCATGCGTATCTTGCTTGAATGTATTAGCGATGACCTTGGTCACTTGGACAAAGCCTTTTCTYCATGTAAAATACCGGCACGGATGTTTGTTCGTTATTTATGTCGTGCAGTCGGCTGGAGTTTCTAAGGCAACGCCCCGACTCTGTTGGTGCTTAGTCAGATTACRCCTGATTTTAAGTTTCGTGTTTAATTAAGCAGACTAGTTTGTAGATTAAAATTATACACCACACACAATTTTGGATGATGACATCAAAAGCATACTGATTTATATATTGAGTAATTTATTGTTTCTATAGTTCAGCTTAATTCTACCTTAACAATGTATATTTACACAATAAAACAATTCACCAACAATGGCACTCAAATGACTGGAGCTCTCGTGATGTACACATATTCGAATAATCTATTTCCACAGCAAGAGTCCAAGCAGCGCAGTCCCAACCTTGTTAGCAAGCGTGACTCGCAAAGAGACTTTAATGCAAATTGTGATTTATTGCGTTACTTTGAGAAAAG